TTCTTCCCTTTCTTTCTCTTCCTTTTCTGCCTTGTTTTCCTCCTTTTCTTTGGAATCCCGTGGCTATTCTTTTCTCCCACGTTGCTGCCCTATTTATGCCTTTTTCTGCCTCCAAAATGTAGCCACCACACCTCCCCTAATGTTAATTAGGGTTAGGTTAAGAGGGGGTGTGGGCTGCCCAAGCCCACTATGAGTTGAATCTGTGGGCTGCCAGCCCAACAACCTCCCCCTTCAGCCCATAAGAGAGGTTGTCCCATGACTCCTCAATGTGAAGCCATGCAGACCAGTTGTCGGCATATCTCCTGCCTTTCTTTTGGTAAGGTCTTCATTTCATTTGGTAGCAGCACCCAATCATAAGTGTGGTTCTTCTGAAGAGCATCCATCTCTTCCTGCATAGCAACTAACCACTTCTCTTTCTGCTAACTTTCAACTGCTTCCTGGTAACTCTCTGGTTCACCTGCATCAGTAAGCATCACATACTCATATGTAGAGTATCTTTTGGAAGGTTGACGTTGTCTAGAAGATCTTCTCAATTGAGGTTCTGTTGGAACTTGCTCTCCTACTTCTTCTTGCTCAACATGTCCTACAGGTAGATCAACGTCAGGCTCTACACCATCTTCCTACACATCTCCCCCATCACCCCGATATACTGGAGGAATAACTGGGTGACAATCTGCTAATCCTTCTGCAGAAGTATTGGCTGGTGCCTTCTTCTTTAAATCTTCAAAGGTTTGATCCTCAAAGAAGACTACATATCTGCTTTTGAACACCTTCTGCTTTTCTGGATCCCAAAGCCTGTAACCAAAATGATCATGTGAGTAGCTAAGAAAAATATATTCTTTAGTCTTACCATCCAGCTTGGACCTATCATTGTCTGGAACATGTGCAAATGCACGACAACCAAACACTCTCAAATGCTTATAGGAAACATCTTTCCCTGACCATACATGCTCTGCAACATCACCATCTAGGGCTGTACATGGTGATAAGTTGATCACATCAACTGCAATCCTCAAAGCCTCATCCCAAAACCTTTTGGGTAGCTTGGCCTGTGAAAACATACATCTGATCTTTTCTATGATGGTGCAGTTCATCCTCTTTGCAATTGTATTATGCTGAGGTGTACCAGGAACTGTTATCTCATGTTGGATCTCATGTGACCTGCAATAGTCATTAAACAATCCTGTATACTCACCACCATTATCTGATCTTATGCATTTCAATTTCCTTTCTGTCTCCCTTTCAACCCTAGCATGAAACACTTTGAAGACATTAATCACCTGATCTTTTGTCTTCAAAGCATAGGCCCAAACTTTTCTGGAAAAATCATCTATAAAAGTGACAAAATAAAGTGCACCACTTATACCAAGAATATCAACAGATCCACCATGAGTTTTTGTCCTCAAAGGGCCATATACATCTACATAAACACGGTCTAAGGTATGTATTTTTCTAGACAAAGCAGCACTAGCAAATGAAACTCTATGTTGTTTACCTACCAAACAATCAATACAAGGGTTCAGATGTTTATCTCTGAGATCTGGTAATACCTCTCTCTTGGAAAGAGTTTGCAGCCCCTTCTCGCTCATGTGTCCCAGTCGCCTATGCCACAACTCCACGCTGAAGTCTTTTTCTATAGCATTTAACTGCTCACCATAAGCTTTAGCCTGTAACCTGTATAAAGTATGATATTTCTTTCCACTAGCTATAACAAGAGAACCCTTACTAAGCTTCCATTGCCCTTTGTGAAATTTGCTTTCATAGTCTTCATCAACTAGTCTTCCAATTGAAATTAAATTCAGCCTCAAGTCAATCACATGCCTCACATCCTTAAGCACCAACTTGCAGCCAAGGTTAGTCTTTAAATGGATATCACCCATGCCTATGATGTCTGTTGTGCCATAGTTGCCCATCTTGACAACACCAAAATTTCCAAACTTGTATATAGCAAAAAACTCCCTCCGTGGTGTAGCATGATAAGAAGCACCTGTGTCAATCACTCACTCAAGATCCTGACACAAAAGAAAAAATATCATCAGAAGGAGACAAAATCAAATAATCACCACCCTACATTGTAGCTGTGATATTATCTTTTGACTCTATAGACTCCACTTCTTTTTCCTTTTTCTTGCTCTTCTTAGGTTGCTTACATTGGTTCTTGTAATATCCTTTCTTACCACAATTATAGCAAACAATATCTTTTCTTGATCTTGACTTGCTTCTACCTATGTGTGAACTGCTTTTAGACTTTGACCTTCATTTGTTCTCTGAGATAAGTACCTGTGAATCATTCTGAGATATTACCGAACTCTTTCTTCTCAACTCCTCATTCAACAAACTGCTTGTTACTTGACTCATAGTGACAACACCATCTGGCGCAGAATTACTGAGGGAAACCACTAGTGTCTCTCAACTTTCTGATAACGAACTGAGAAGTAACAATGCTTGCAACTCATTATCAAGAGACATTTTCGTAGAGTATAACTGGTTAGTAATACTTTGCATTTCATTCAAAAGTTCAGCAATAGAAGCACCCTCTCTATATTTTAGGTTCACAAGTTTTCTGATAAAAAAAGCTTTGTTGCCAGCTGTTTTTCTTTCATAGAGACTTTCCAACTTTTTCTAAAGAGAATATGTAGAAATTTCAGTAGAAACATGGTGAAAGACACTATCATCAAGCCACCGTCGAATAAATCCAATAATTTTTCGATCTAACCTCTTCTACTCATCATTGTGGATTTTACACTATCCCCCTGCAAAGATCTATACAAATCTTTGCAATACAAGATATCTTCCATTCTTGGTTTCCATATCATCCAATTGTTTCCATTCAAATTAATCATGCGAGAAACATTACTGGCCTTCATGTTCAAATATAAAATTTAAATCACCAAAACCCCTTTGCTCTGATACCAGTTGATGGGGATATAAACAGGAATAACCTTTGTATATGAACAAATACTAGTAGGCCATGATATGCAGTGGAATTAAATGGAAGCACAATCAAACAGAACACCAAGATATACATGGAAAACCCCTCCAATGTGAAGGGTAAAAACCACAGGGCAAACTAGAGATAATCCACTATAAGAATAATGAATATACAAATCTCAATCTCTTGCCTTAAACCATAGCAACAATCACAAGAGAATAACTGGGATACAAGGATCACGTCACTGCCCACAATATCTAAAACCTCTCCAAGTAATCATAGCAAGAGTCTAATTTGATCTAACCTGAGAGGAGAACACTGCTAGATGATTGAGAACATCCTCTCTACGTTGTCCTTGTCTTCTTCCCTTTCTTTCTCTTCCTTTTCTGCCATGTTTTCCTCCTTATTTTTGGAATCCCGTGGCTGTTCTTTTCTCCCACGTTGCTACCCTATTTATACCTTTTTCTGCCTCCAAAATACAGTCACCACACCTCCCCTAATGTTAATTAGGGTTAGATTAAGAGGGGTATGGGCTGTGGGTTACCCAAACCTACTGTGGGCTGAATCTGTAGGCTGCCAGCCCAACATGATATGCATATTTTTATCGTGTGATTGTGTGTTGCTTTTATGTTGTTACGATAGTTATAGTTTGTACTCGAGACTGTGTATTGATTTTGATTTTTATGAGCTTACTACTTGGCAAATTATTTAATATTAATATTTTTGGAGCAACCAATAGGACACATTTTTATTTCTCTATCGTTAAGTAGCGTGCCATTAGGACAGTTTTATTTTAGTTACTTTATTATTGGACAACAGTAGTACTAATTTTTTTTTATAGTATTAGATATATCGAACAAGAATTTATGAATGAAATTATTTTCTATTATTATGCCAGATGCCTATTGTGAGATGATCATGTTAGGATTTCTAATCAGGTAAAAGCAGGTTTTCCAATAATATTAGGATTTGGTTAAAGGGCCTAGTCAAGTATTATATGTCTGAGTAAAAAAAATTGATGGAACTCAGTTCTAGTAAGGTTATTAGGATTATGATACAGATCAAGCAAGAATAAGAATACACAAGATTTCAATTTCATGATAATTGAGGTATTTTAGTATTTTGTCCTAAACTCTTTCGCTGTCTCCTCCTCACTATTATTTTGATATTAAGTACTAATCATGTTTTCTATCTCTATGGTCTATATATCTTGAGGCTCAGTATCACCAACTTGTTTATTATTACATTTTAAAAAGCAGTTTGGAAGTGAAGTTAGGATAAGGTTAGCACTTCAGTATTCTTATTTTGATGAATGACTTGTGCACAAATGACTTAACGAAGGAGATGATATATCTTAACACCTCGTCTCTTCATGTTTTTATATCATCTCATCATCATGATTAATTTTTTTTTAAAAAATTATATTTATTTCGATCGTGTCACCCACCCTATTTTGATATTTTACAAATTACTGGCTCGACTAATGAACACTCCTAATAAAGGCCTAACTTTTCTAGTTAAATCTAAAGGTCATTCTAAGATTTGTTCCATGCTGATATGTTGGAATATGAAACTTAACACTTTGACAGGCTGTTTGGCTTTTATGTGCTCCAACTTCTGGTTGCTCCTTCGTTCGAGATGGCTCTGCGCTAAATTGGGAAGTCAAATACTAGTTTTGGTGGATTAAAGGTGAGTGTCCATTAAGGAGTCGGTAAGATACACATGGAAATCCACCGCCAACTTCGATTGATGTCCTTGGTATAACAACGTGACCTCCTTAAACAATCCGGCACACGAGTTGGGCTCGTTTAAACAAGCTTACCATCCTTTGGCATGGCAAGGAGATTGATGAGCTGCTTTTTTTCTGTGCTCGTTTTAGTCAGTGATAGAATCTTTCTTTTCATATTGCATGTAATGCTAAATTTCCAATTAGAGGCGGATATAATATCTGTGTCGGATCCAGGTTTCCAATTCGGACCCAAGATATTGACATATCGGGTTCGGACCATGTTCCAGTCGCTGGAACCACAACATAACACCCAACTAAAACCCTTGCCAATTACCAGAACCTCGAGGCCCATCCCTCCCCGTGCGCTCCCCCGAAAGCAACGCTGCTCCACCTCCTGCGCCTCCGTACGCGTTCCCTTCCTCTCGCAAATCGCGGCCGCCGAGCAAACCCTTCCCTCGTGACGAGAGAGACGAGGTATGGGCAGCGACAGCGAGAATAAGAAATCCGTGGAGAGGAAGAAGCCGATGGCCGTCGCACCCATCGCCAAGCCCCTGGCCGGCAAGAATCTCTGCAAGCGCACCCTCAAGCTCGTCCGACGAGGTATCGAACCGAATTACCTTCTATTCTTCTTTAATTCTTCCAACGTGTTTGCAACGCTCTTTTGTGATCGAGAAAGATGGTTCTTTTGCTTCTGGTGTGTTTGAGTTCCCTGGGGATTTAGATGTATTCGGTCAGAAAAATGGTACCTTTCATTATCGTTGATCTTTTTCTCCCTTTATTCCTTTGTACATTCTTCGAGGAAGAGCAAAACAATGCGGTCTCGTATCTCTAGATGATCTTTTTTTCTTTTGGTTTTTTCCTCTTTTTCGATTTCTATTTTAAACGTGAGTTGCTTTAGTTATTTGCTATTTTGGACTGTTCAAGAGGATATGGAATTGTCTGTTATGGAATCCTTATTTTTACCACTAAAATCTAGCTTGATCATGACGTGCTCCGTTCTTTCTCTTAATTTCTTTTCATACCGAATTGTATGCCAACATCTTATCTTTTCGTTTAAATTGCCGGCTGCGGAGGCCAAGAGCTTGAAACGGGGACTGAAGGAAGTAGTAAAGAGTGTCCGCCGTGGTCATAAAGGGTATGATATTTCCCTAATATATTTTTCTCTTAACAATGCATCTCTAGTTGGCAGGAGAATTGCATCCTTTGCACAACTGTTTACAATGAACTTTCCATCCGACTCTGAAACAATTGAAACTGTAATTGGCTGAAAATAACACTAAGAGACTTGTGTTCTTGCCTCCAATAGTCTTAAGAAGCATGGACATGGACACGGGAACTGACACGATAATGATACGGCGACACGTCAATCTTTGAAAAACAGGATATGCACACGGCAAGGACACGTGTGTATATATATATGTATACTTTGATTAGCATGAGTTTTATAGTATTTATATTTAAATTTTATAGACTTAATAATGTGAACTTTAACAAAATAGACTAGGAATTGTTATATATATATATATATATATATATATAAATATAGTTACAC